TCGCTGTTTGCTCACCAGCCTCCTGCAGCAGCCCCCTTTGCCCCATTACCATGCTGGCTTCTTGCTTCTTGTCCTTGCTGCCGGTCTGCTAGGCCTTTCTTATGTTCCTCCTGCATTATCGTTAAACTTCTACCTCCTCCCTGCCTTTAATCTCTTTGGGTCCTTAAATCTGCTCTCAAGTGCTGCTAGGATATTCTTTCTAAAGTGTGGATTTCCTGCTGCTGCTCTCCGTAACTCTCCATAACATTTAAGCTGACTTTAGCTGACAAGTCCCACTCTGAGCTAGTTCCATCTCCTGCTGCTCTTTTGCTCTTTGCTCTGGCCACATTTGAGAATTTGCAGCCTGGTGTCAAGTCAAGCTTGTCAAGTCACGTTATATGAAGTCATCCAAAATACTCTTTAGGATTTGCAAGGGTTAAATTGTACCATCATGCATTCTTCCTGCAAAAGTGTCACCAGATGACTTTTTCAGTTGCCAGAGGAGGAGAGAAAGCATAATACAAAAGAGAAAACAGGGGACCTAGCACAGGTATTATAAGACCAGTAAGTGGACTATTTAAATAAGATGTCCATTGGTTATATCTAGTACTCAACTATGTCCCCTTTATTTTAATAATCAAAGCAGTATGGCACTGGCATATAAACAGATGCATCGACCAATGGAGCAGAATAGAGAGCTCAGAAGTAAACCCATGCATATATGGTCAATTAATTTACAACAAAGGAGCCAAGAGTATACAATGGGGAAAGGATAGTCTCCTCAATAAATGGTGTTAGGAAAACTGGACCCCTGTCTTACACCATATATAAAATCCACTCAAAATGGATTGAAGATTTGAACATAAGACCTGAAACCATAAAACTCCTAGAAGAAAACCTAGGGGATAAGCTCCTTGACATCAGTCTTGGTGATGATTTTTTGGACTTGACACCAAAAGCAAAGGCAGCAAAAGCAAAAATAAAAAAATGGGACTAGGTCAAACTAAAAAGCTTCTGCACAGCAAAGGAAACCATCAACAAAACGAAAAGGCAACCTACTGAATGAAAGAAAATATTTGCAAATTATATATCTTATAAGGGTTAATATCCAAAATATGTAAAGAATTCTTACAACTCACTGCTGAAGAAACAGACGATCCAATTAAAAAATGGGCAGAAAAATGGATAGACGTCTTTCCAAAAAAGACACACAGATGGCCAACAAATATATGAAAAGGCGCTCGTCATCACTAATCATCAGGGAAATGCAAATCAAAACCACAATGAAATACCACCTCACATCTGTTAGAATGCCTGTTATCAAAAAGACAAGAGATGAGTGTTGCCGCAGATGTGGAGAGAAGGGAGCACTTGTGCGCTGTTGGCGGGAAGGTAAATTGGTGCAGCCACTATGGGGACAGTATGGAGGTTCCTCAAAAAGTTAAAAATAGAACTACCATATCCAGCAATCCTACTTCTGGGTATATATCCAAAGGAAATGAAGACAGGATATCAAAGAGATATCTGTACTCCTATGTTCATTGTTCTTACCGAAAAAAATGGGGCTATGGATGTGTTAATTAACTAGATGGAGGAATCATTTCTCAGTGTCTTTGCATATCAAATCACGTGATGTACACTTTAAATCATCCGTTGCCGGTCTTCCTCTTTTTGCTTGAGGAAAATTGTCCCCAAGCTGACATCTGTGCCAATCTTCGTCTCTTTTGTATGTGTGATGCTGCCACAGCATGGTCTGATGGGCGTGTGTAGGTCCACACCAGGGATCCGAACCCGTGAACCCCAGGCCGCCAAAGTGGAGCACGCAGACTTCAGCACCACACCACCAGGCCAGCCCTAAATATCTTAAAATTTTTGTGTCAGTTGTACCTAAGTAAAGCTGAAATTTTTTTAAAAGCTGCACTTTGGAATTAAATTTATAGCCATAAATACTTTCATCATTAAATACAGACAACAAATAAATTAAGCATTCAATATTTTTTTAAAGAAAAAGAATTATAAAGCAAGTTTAAAGAACAAATGGGAAAGAAAAAATATTTAGAAAAATCAGAAAAGAATAGAAATCATAAATCGAAGTTGAAAATCTTGTATCATAGATTGCTTGGATGTATAATTGAGAGGATACATACTAGTATCTAGGAATGAGAGGCTATGTAACTAAAAATATGCTTTAAAAACTTTAAATCTTTGTGAATAAGTTTAAAAAAAAGCTGGAGAGAGAAGGGAATAAACGAAAAGTTAGAAAACTTGGATAAACTAGTAACCATTAGAAAAGTCAAATTAATGCTGGGAGTCGGGTGGGAGGTGGGGCTGGGCTCAGTCAGTTTAACAGCATTCTCTCAAACTTCCAAGTGACCACGAATTCCCATGTTATATAAGGCAGTCCAGAGCATGGGAAAACCTGAAAAGCTACACAAGTAACTGACAAAGCTGACAATCCCTTATAACAGAGCCTGATAAAGCTGGCTTTAGAAAAATTATAGACTGATCTCAGCTACAAATGTGGTTGTAAAAATCCTAAATGTCAAAAAAAGCTACTTTAGGGGGCCGAGCCAGTAGCGCAGTGGTTAAGTTTACACATTCTGCTTCGGCGGGCCGGGGTTCACCAATTCAGATTGCAGGTGTGGACCTACCTGCTGCTTGTCAAGCCATGCTGTGGCAGGTGTCCCACATATAAAGTAGAGGAAGAGGGGCATGGATGTTAGCTCAGGGCCAGTCTTCCTTAGCAAAAAAGAGGAAGATTGGCAGCAGATGTTAGCTCAGGGCTAATCTTCCTCAAAAAAAATAAATAATAAAGCTATTTTAACAGGCTACAAGGGGCTGGCCCTGTGGCCAAGTGGTTAAGTTCTTGCGCTCTGCTTCGGCGGCCCAGGGTTTCACCAGTTCGAATCCTGGGCGTGGACATGGCACCGCTCATGAAGCCATGCAGAGGCATCATCCCATATGCCACAACTAGAAGGACACACACTAAAAATACACAACTATGTACTGGGGGGCTTTGGGAGAAAAAGGAAAAATAAAATCTTTAAAAAAAAAAAAAAAAAAGTCTACAAGTACTGTTTTCATCGTGACCCAGGGAGGTTTACTCCAAGAATACAGAAAGTATGGAGCCAAAGTCCTGGTGCTGTCGTCTGAGGTCTGACAGGCCCTTAGTTGAAGTTCCTGGAGATGACAGGCAGGGGGAGGTTCGATATTAGAGGAGGTAACGCCTGAAAACATTTCCGGAGCACGCTGAGTATCAGTCTTCAGATTCAGGAAGCCTAATAAAGTCCAAACAGGACAAAATAGTGATACAACCTAGAAACCTGCAGAGTACATGTCCTCAGATATCATCAAAGCAGCCACAGAGAAGACTACTGCCTACGAGGTAACAGCATGTAGACTGATAGGGCAGAGAAATTGCAGTATCAAACTAGGCTTCTGTTCCCAACAAACACCTCTCAAGAAATTATCTTCAAGAGTAAGGGGGAAAATAAAGGTTTTTTTTAGGGGCTGGCCCCGTGGCTGAGTGCTTAAGTTTGCACACTCCGCTGCAGGCGGCCCAGGGTTTCGTCGGTTCGAATCCTGGGCGCGGACATGGCACCACTCATCGAGTCATGCTGAGGCGGCGTCCCACATACCACAACTAGAAGGACCCACAACTAAGAATATACAACTATGTACCTGGGAGCTTTGGGGAGAAAAAGGAAAAAAATAAAATCTTTAAGGATTTTTTTTAAATTCAGGGAAGCTATATGATTATCTTGAATGCTGAGAAGACAAATTTAACATCTACTCCTTACTTGAAAAAGAAAAATGCATAAGCTAGGAATAAGCCATTATAAACTGAGCTTAGGGACCCGGTTCACCACGTAATCATATTGTCATCAGTGCTCAATGACGGTTGCAGGAACCACCCTCCTTTGGCAGTAAGGGCTCTCTGCCAGAAACAGGCAGGCACCATGGGTAACGGTAAATGTTAGAGACCCTCCTATTAAAGTGTGGAGCACAGTATGGATGCCCAGTATTGCCGCTGTCATCTGATGTTGTCCCTGAAATTTTATTCGAGAAGAAGAAATGACGACTATGAGAAGTCATAACTAATTTTTAAATCAATGGCATCTCCTACTTATACAACAGAAATTAATCACCTGGAAAACTATCAGAAGTAACATATATAGAAATTCGACCCAGTAAGAAAGAGGACATATTTCCTATCTAGGAGCTGAAAAGGCCATAATGTGGATAAAGGCGCACGTTGTCAGTTCCATCTGAGCAGCTTAATGGGGAGAAGAGTCATAAAATGCCTCGTAGGTGAGGTGATCCTTAAACAGAGTCCAAATTCCTGACTAAAAGGCCGAATTTTAAAGAAAAGATCCTTGATGTGAATTGTTTTCCTCAAATGGGTAATTCGAGTGACCATCTTTACGTTTCACAGCTTGAGTAAAAGATGCTGAATGGGGAGAATTCGGCGCTGACAGGCAGTGTGATAAGCTAAGATCTGGGCTTTCGTGTGGGGTTGACGGTACTGAGTGCGTCGATGGACCGTCTTACAGAGAGATACCTCAACAAGTCTGTTCGTTCTAAGCTGATTGTCCTAATAGGTTTGGTTCTGTAGTGGTTATGATGGTCTGCTATTAACAAATAGTCTTTTTATTTTGAACTTGCAGCGTAAGCTCTGATTAGATGATGTGATTGATTAGAACTTGAGACGTGGCCTCAAATTGATGACTTGGGGGCTTTAAAACTCCCTCTCATTCTGCTCTATCTGAGAGCGGTTGCAGGTCACTCTCTCCTCTTTGGGGCCATGAGGAAGCGCATGTGTTGTGATGGTGGTCTCCTTTAGACCCTCCCTCTTCTCATTTCCCTGTGGTTTTTGTATCTTTCATCCTCCCCTGGTAAGCGTGACCCCTCTGCCCGCACCCGGCAATTCCTTCAATGAAGTCCTTTTAGTCTTAGGAGGAAGCTTTACCAATTCACCTCTAACAATTTATGGTTAACTAAAACAACTCATTCTTTTCTAGGATTGTAGAAATCTACAGTAGAAGATTACAAGGTAAACTTTTAAACTATTTTATTTACAGAAAAACATTTTTTCTTAAGAAAGAAGTATTTTTTGTTATTACAAATATAATACATATGACGTAAAAATCAAAACCTCATAGGAATATCAAACAGAAGGAGAAAGCGTGCTGTGTTTCCAGTCTGCAGAAGAGGTCCCTGTTGGTTTGCACATTCCTTCCCACAGTTATGCATCTACTGACATTTTATGGCCTCACACTGTATATAATGGGCTTCATTTTCTTTTTACCCTACTTTGTTTTCACTTAACAAACCTTAGCCTTTTTCCTGCATACGTGTGCCTATCGCATTCATTCTGCCGGCTGTTTAGCACCATGTACGGCTGTGTGGTGGCTTCGTTTGACTGACACCTGCTCTGAGGGATATTTGGAGATTTTGTCAGTTTTCAAATAGATGCAGTGCTGCAATGAACACTCTTGGATGTTTTCAAAGAGTTGTTTATTCAGCACAGGAGCTGCATTATTTAGGTTAAATGATTGGTTTTCAAAATTGCTCTAAGTACAATCTGATAATTGGACTGTGACCCCTTTGTTAATCCTGTTGCGAGCTGCTTATTCACTCGCTGCACTCCGCCTCCGTGGAGGTGCATGTTGTCGATAAACTGTGGCTCTCACTGCACACCCGAGACAGTCGCCATTCTGATCTGTTTCCTCCAGTGGTACTGGAAGGCGCCAGGGCTTCCCGAGCTCTCTCCAGCACCTGTACTGCAGGTGATGGAATTGCACAGGGCCTCCTGTGGCCCAGGCAGCAGACGCAGCAGACGGGTGACAGCTGGTAGCTCTCAGCTCTTAACCCTCATAGAAGTCTGCTCCTTAGATTTCAGATGTAGAAACCTAGAGACAGCAAAAGCTTCCAGCTATCTGTTTGTGTCAGACTCTTAATCTGAGCTCTTTGTCACACCCACAGTTCAAGAGCGCCTTACGAAACAGATTGCTGTGGCAATCACAGAAGCCTTGTGCCCTGCCGGAGTTGGGGTTGTGGTTGAAGCCACGTAAGTCTGTGTTTGCCTTTAACGCTGTCGTCATAGTGCATGAAAATGATACTCAGTGCTGCCCGGTATTTCTAGTACCAGGTGATGCCACACGATTGACACTGTCCCGTTCTCCATCTCCGAGCCTAAAGCCCTTTTACCTCTTTCACTTACTGCGTTGCCGTTCCAGGAACCAGGGTTTGGGAGACGGGTTTGGTTTGGTTTGTGGTGGGGGTTGTGGAGGTGTGGGGAGGCATAGCGTAAGTGCAGAGATGTGTACGGTCAGCAGCGTTTGCTGTCTCCCTTTGATGCCTTCTGTAGCGCTTTGTTGCTCTAAGCAGAGTTTTCCTAATATTTCGTCACACACTTAAAAAATAGAGCTAAGAATGATACAAAGCCCAGCTGAAGACACTTCTTTGAGTTAGAATGGATTGTGAGAACTGCACACATCTTGTGGCAGAGTTTCCATGCGTTCTTCTGGTATGGTGTGAGCTCGGTACTGTGTGTGCTGTCCGGCTTCCCCAGGGCGCTTAGACTCACTGTGGTCAGCGTTCGCTGGGTCCTGCCTGGCGAGACCAGCATACTTCGTATTTCTCTGAACACCTAAGCTAGCATAGTGCTGTCTTGGTCCTGAAGATGGATCAAGTAAGAATTCTGAATTTCTTTTTATCTAGAAGTTGTTGTCTCTCTGTAGACCCCCTTGTATCATTTTCACCTACGAAGAAAATTCCGTTCTTTCCCCTTCTGTTGGATGCATTAAGGACTTTACCACTGATAAGAATAAAAGCTCTAAGACTAAGCAACTTAAAAAAGAAGTTTTAGATCAAATTTGTCTAAGAAGTGATATTTGGACACACTTGGTAACTGTGAACTCAGTTTAATTCCATTTAATTTTTTGGCATGCTTTTTATTTCAAAAACCAAACCAGCAATTGTCTACTCCTTTAAACTCCTTGTTATCTTGTTTTGTAGACACATGTGCATGGTAATGCGAGGGGTACAGAAAATGAACAGCAAAACTGTGACCAGCACAATGTTGGGTGTGTTCCGGGAAGATCCGAAGACCCGGGAGGAGTTTCTGACCCTCATTAAAAGCTGAACGCCAGCGTGTGGTGTGCGGTCTGCAGATTGTGCCTCTAGGAAGGTTGTTCGTCTGGTCTTCACTGTACATTCCATTTTCAGTTGTTACAGATGCGAACTTTATTCCTCAGCACTAATTATGTTTACTAATTATTTATAGCAAGTCAAATAAAAATAATTAATAAAGGGGTGAGCCCCCTACTTTCTTCTTGCCACCTTTTAGTGGCAGCATTCAAGCAAACTGCCAATTGTATAAGTTACATGCACAAAACCACTGCCATTCAGAGAACCTGAAGGTGCTGGGAAGGGAGAAGAATTCGTGTGTTTTGTTCAAATAGTACAGTAATTTGGTTCATAAGAACAGCAGTGTCGGGAACGGGTGAGAACTATAACCAATGTGCTGTTTTTCTCTCCCCAAACAAAAATGGTATAGTGCTTAAGATAATTTATGGACAGTATGCAGCTTTGTTCTGCAAATTGAAAATCAGGCTCCACTTTAATCATGTGGATTAAACCACCAGTGACACTTTATTTTTTATATATTTATTCTTTAACTATCCAATTGTAACGCGAGTCACCAAGAGAAGGTGGTGGAATATCTATGTTTTTGGTTTTATGGTGAGTCAAAAGGCACGTTTCTACCTTCCAGTCTCTTTTAAATTTCATCACAGGGAGTTAGCTCCTGGAGTTGTTTACGAGTGTATTCTCATGTCGACATACGGGGATTTAGACATTTAACTCTCTGTGCCTTGATGAGAATATCACACCATTCAGAGTGTAGATACTTTTGCCTTTTTTAAAAAAGCTGTTATTTTATAAGACTTAGTACCAACCCTGCAAATACCCAGTCCTCCCAGTTTTACTTTTAGAATTTTCTTGGGAGCTTACTTTGTGTATCCCTTGTAGTTGCCTCAGAACTTTTTTTTGTCTTATCGAATATTTTTCTACATATTTCCGGAAACTTTTCAGAGTGTCCATCATTTTCAGGTTTGCAGAACCATAGCTTCCATGAGCCCAGAAGAATGCAGCACGAGCTGACTGTGGGCTGTTAGGAGCGACGTCCAGTGTCGAAGGAAAGCTGTATTGCTGGTGTCTGTGAAAATGTACCCTAATTTTCTGGAATTACCAGGAATTATTGGAAAATACTGGAAGCCCCTTCCTGGTTTCCCTTGTGATCCAAGTGGGTCTTGTCTTCAGTGTATCTGTGCTAGTGGCGTAGATCTTTTAGTCCAGGAAGTTGTTGCCTTATTAACGATTATCTTAAAATTTCCTCCACAGGGGCAGTGTGGGCCAAATTAAAACAAACAAAACCCTCAACCCCCCCCCCCGCCCCCCGCCAAAACATAAACACAGTTATTCTGTGGGGAGTCCCTCATCTGAAATGTTACCATAGTGCTCTTCAAATTTATCCCAGTACCTTAAGAAGAATTAACTACAGTGTTTGCTTTAGCTTCGGGAGCTCTGTCTCTGCCACTGTGATGCCGTTTGACTTACAGTGGGGCAAGATGGCAGAAGGGCTTTCTTAAAAAATTCTTCCCTACTTCTGTTTCCTTCATTTTTCTGTATTTGGAGTTTCTGAAGTACTGAGTTTCTGAAGTGGTAATTGATTTTGAGTTCCTTTTAAAGTGTGACCTGATATAACCATCATCCTGCTTAATATTTAGACATCTAGAGGTAGAATTGCGCACTCAACATGTCTGGTATTTTAAAGTAAAAACAGATGTGACTTGGAGGACCAAAGAAATCCATAGCTATGAATTCGTCTTTCTCAGATCGATTGTATGCCTTTGCAATGACTCTTTGTTCTGGCCTTTCCCAGAAGTGTTCCCATAAAGGTCTGTGTGTCCACTGGTCTGTGCAAAGTGATTACCTTCTTGTTTTACTCTGCTCTGTAGTACTTCAAGATTACTGTTTCGTATCCATGGTCTTGAGTCCTTTTTGGGGATTTTAAAGAATTTGATGCATTTAAATACACTGTTCAATGAAATTGTTTGAATTTTTTGTATGTGTGTGTGTGTTACTAAATTTAGTTCTATTTAAATTATTAAAGTGTTACAACTTTGTTCTTGTGAAAGTAAGTTCTTTTTGAACCACTATTGTGGATATATCAATAAATTCAGTTACTTTAATGGTATTCTGTTTTAGCAGATACCCCTTCTAAGGGCTTCTCTCAACCATCAAGCTATTAGAGTCCAAATTTGCCTCGGGCTGTTTCCCTTGGGTGTTTGGTTTGGTATTACTGGCCTCACCCTCCTGTGGTGATGAGAAGCGCGGATCTGGGGTAGGATGGGGGAATTTGAATGGCACTCATGTCCCTGTTGTCCTAAGCCTAAGTTTGGGTACCTGCAACCTCCTGAGAACTGGCCCTACTCTCGTGTGGGAGCAGCTGGGGCAGGAAGAGAGGGCTGGGGCAGGGAGGGGCAGAGAGTTTTCTTTCCTCTTCTAGGGAGCAGCCCGCCCTGGGCAAAGCTTCCAAGTAGGTGCGAAGGTTTTGCTGCCTCTTTCCTGTCCGTGCCTGGAGACCTCATCATTCCCGCTTCGGGAAGGTCTTCCTCCTTCCTGCTCCACCTGGGCAGAGGCCCCTGCCCTCACGGGCTGTCAGCGTGTCCAGGTGCTGGGGCACTGGAGTGGCCTGCTGCTCCTTGAAGGACCCCCTAGACTGCTGGGTAGTGAATCCAGTCACCCAGACTAGGAATACTTGCTGGCCTAAAGCATTCCTAAAACCGCCACTCACAGGTGTCACAACAATGAGCTGCTCAACGAAGCCCATGTTGCTACTCTGTGGCTTCTCACTCAAGAGTGATTGTCTGCGTTCCCTGTTTTGTCGCTTCAGTGGAAGAGCAATTGTGGGCGCTAAAGGTTTTAGAGAAGGCATTCCGTCAACACAGCACACGCGGATTCACCATGCTGGGCCTAGGTCCTCCTGCTGATGGGGGCTGGGTGGAGAGGGAGTCTCCATAGATGAGTTTGAGAGCGAAGTGTAAATACCTGACAGCCCCAACCCTCCCAGAGGCACTTTAGTTTAGTCCTTATTGTGGAGAAGAAACGTCCAACAGTAGGCAACACATGAGTCCATGACACCCATGTACCCATCACCCAGATTCAGTAAGTCTCAACTCATGGCCGTCGATTTCTCCATATCTCCCATTCCAACTGCATCAATTCAAAACAAATCCCAGACACATTTCATCAATAAATATTTCAGATTATCTAAAAGAAGAGGAATCACGTGAAAAAATTAAAATACCAGATATTATCACACCAAAAAGTCAATGCTTTAATATCGAATACCTAGTCAGCATTCCATTTTTCCCTTTTGTCTCAATTTTTTTTTTTATAGTTTTCTTGAGTCAAGGTACAAATGAGGTCCATTCATTGCAACTGGTTGATCTGGGTTTTTTTTTATTGTGGTAAAAAAACCATGTAAAATTTACCATCTTAACTATCTTTAACTGTACAGTACAATAGTAATTGTGTGCACACTGTTGTGTAACAGAGCTCTTGAAATTTTTCATCTTGCAAAACTGAAACCCTATATGCATTGAACAACGCCCCTTTTCCCCTCCCTCCAGCCCTTGGTAACCACCATTCTACTTTCTGTTTCAGAATTTGACTACTTTAGATACCTCGTATAAGTAGAATCATGCAGTATTTGTATTTTTGTGACTAGCTTATGTCACTTAGCATAATGTCCTTAAGGTTCATCCATGAAATGGCATATGACAGGGTTTCCTTCTTTGAAAGGTTGAAAACTGTTCTGCTGTGTATCCTGCATTTTCTTTATCCCTTCTTTGTCGGTGGACATTTGGTCTGCTTCTCCCTTGTGCCTGTTGTGAATGATGCTGCAATAGACGTGTTCGTGCAAATGCCTCCTCCAGATCCGGTTTGCACTTCTTTTGAATGTACACTCAGAAGAGGAATTGCTTTATCATGTGGTAATTCTTTTAAAAAATTTTTTGAGAAACCTCCATATTGTTTTCCACAGCAGCTGTACGATTTTACATTCCTACCAACAGTGCGCAAGGGCTCCAATTTCTCCACATCCTTGCCAAAACATTTTCCAGCTTTTTGATAGTGGCCATCCTGACAGGTATGAGGTAATATCTCATTGTGGTTTTGATTTGCATTTCCCTAATGATGGTGACATATTGACCATTCGTATATCTTCTTTGGAGGAAAGTCTGTTCAAGTCCTTTGCCCATTTTTTAATCAGGTTATTTGTTTTTTGTTGAGTTGTAGTTCCTCATACATTAACCCCTTATCAGATAAATAATTTGCAAATATTTTCTCCCATTTCATAGATTGCCTTTTCACTCTGTTGAGTTTGATGTAGTCCCATTTGTCTATTTTCGCTTTTGTTGTCTATGCTTTTGGTGTCATATCCAAGAAATCATTGCCCAGTCCAATGTCATGAAGCCCCTATGTTTTCTTCTAGGAGTTTTATAGTTTCGGTTCTTATGTTAGGTCTTTGATCCATCTTGAGTTAGTTTTTGTATATGGTGTAAGATAAGGGTCCAACTTCATTTGTTTGCACGTGGCTATCCAGTTTTCCCAACACCATTTGTTGAAGAGACTGTCTGTACCCCGTTGTGTAACCTTGGCGCCCTTGTCAAAGATCGTTTGATCATATACATGAGGACTGGTTTCTGGGCTCTCTGTTCTTTTCCATTGGTTTATATGTCTGACTTTCTGCTAGTACCTCATTGATTTTCTTTATTGTAGCTTCGTAATGTTTTGAAATCAGAAAGTGTGAGGCATCCAGCCTTGTTTTTCTTTCTCAAGATTGTTTTGCCTATTCAGGACCCTTTGAGATTCCGTATGAATTTTAGGATGGTTTTTTTCTATTTCTGCAAAAATGTCATTGGGATTTTGATAGGGATTGCAGTGAACGTGTAGATTCCTTTGGGTAGTATAAATATCTTTTTTTTTTATGAGGTTTTTTTTTTTTTTTTTGAGGGAGATTGGCCCTGAGCTAACATCTGCTGCCAATCCTCCTCTTTTTTGTTTTTTTCCACCAAGGAAGACTGGCCCATCTTCCTCTTCTTTATATGTGGGACACCTGCCAAAGCATGGCTTGACAAGCAGTGTGTAGGTCCATGCCGGGAATCTGAACCGGCAAACCCTGGGCTGCCAAAGCAGAATGTGCTAACTTAACTGCTGTGCCACCGGGCCAGCCCCTAGTATAAATATCTTAACAATATTAAGTCCTCTAATCCATGAACATGGGATATCTTTCCAGTTATTTGTGTGTTCTTTAATTACTTTCATCAGTGTTTTGTAATTTTCAGTATACAAGTCTTTCACCTCCTTAGTTAAGCTTATTCCTGGATATTTTACTCTTTTTTTTTTAATAAACTTTGGTGTTTTTTGAGCAGTTTCAGGTTCACAGTGAAACTGAGTAGAAGATACAGAGATTTCTCATATACTTCCCGCCCCTACTCTTGCATAGACTCCCTCATTATCAACATCCTCACCAGGGCACTACATTTGTCACAATTGATGAACCTACACTGACACATCATAATCACCAAAGTCTATAGTTTACCTTAGGTTTTGTTCTTGGTGGTGTACATTCTATAGATTTGGGCAAATGTATAATGACATGTATCCACCATTATAGCATCAGATAGAGCAATTTGACGGCCCTAAAAATCCTCTATGTTCCACCTATTCATCACCAATTTTTTTCTTTTTGATGCTATTGTAAATGGAATTGTTTTCTTAATTTCCTCTTTGGATTGTTCATCGGTTGATAACTTTCTTAAGTTTCTTTCAGGCTGTAGATTCACCTCTCACTCCCTCTCTCCTATGTTTTCCTACAATTTATTTGGTCATTTGCTTTTGGAGAAGCCCTACGTTCACCCCAAGGAATGTCAACTGCCAGAATGTGTGTGGCTGGCTGAATGAAGTGAAACTTCAGCTAAGCAGAAGAAAAAAGAGTTGTTCTCTGCTACAACACTTCTCCGTGTCCTTAAACTCCTGTTTTTGAGGCAGCCCAGGTCAGCCTGTTGCCGCTCAGCCCTTGTTTTATAACTCAGAGTCACCCTCCCAGTTATGGAATAGAGTTTCTTCTCCTTCTGGAGGGGTCTGTCCTCTCTGGACAGGCTTCAGTTTTAAAACATCTGCCGCACGGCTCCCTTGGCTTCAGTGTGGGGGGCTCCTGGGCTGCCCAGATTTGGGTTGAGGTGAAAGGATTATTATAGCACTGGAAATAGTGACTCCTACGAGACATAACATCACTTTGAAGGCCTGTCCCTGGGAAATTCCAAGGTTTGGGTTGGACTGTGGGAGGGCTTCGGTGTGTGACTTCTTCAGTTACGTTTCCGTGGCCTTCTGAGTGAGAATCCTAGTCTCTAGCTGACCTGGGGTGGGGAGGGAAGTGACACACCAAGTCTTGTATTTGAGCAGTTTCTTTCATCCTCTCCCTAATGGTGTAGTGATGACTCACTCGCAAGCCCTGTTGGGATAACTCCTAGTACATGCATTACACAGCCCTAATACATCCATCCATGTTTCCTCTTATTTCTACATTCTCCTGTTTAGCTTAAGCAATGTGTCCACGACTTTGACCTTTTGAGAAATCCTTTAACTTCTGGAACTGGCTGTGCTGCCCAGGGAAACATGGCTCGACTGTTGGTCAGCGTTGAGAAAACTGTGTTGAGGAAGTCCTGTGATGCAATGCCTAGGCGTGTAGGAAAGCCTTCTGTGAGACTGCTGCACTTAAGCTTTCTTGCTTTTCTCCTGATTTTAGGATGAGTTTCTTCTTCTCCCCTCTTTTTCTGGATCTTTTCATGTTTGAAAATGTGATGAATGAGTAGACAAATGAGATAGTTTTCTTTCTCATTTGTCTTTGTGGGGTTTCCCATTATATGTGTGATGATACTAATTTTTACAGTCATATTCTGTCTTGACTGGTAAATGTCTTTATGGAGATTTTTCTCTTTAAAAGGCCATTTCACGTCTAAAACCAAGGGGTAAATTGAATACAAAACACAAAAGCTAGGAAATAAAACTCAGTTTACAACGACTAGCAGGGACAACAGGACAATTTCATGTTGGTC